ACAACATGAATCTATCTGAAATAATCATTCGGTTCATTAAATGTCAAAAAAGGTGAAAATTACTCCATCATAAACCTTAAATCCTCGTTAAATAAAAAGCTTATTTTGTCCAAATAACATTCCATCACAAAAAAATTAAATCACAATGACATAAAGCAGAAAAAAGCTCAAATAATCATTCGGTTCATTAAAATTACTCCATCACAAAACTCAAATCCTCATTAAATAAAAAGCTGTTTCGTCCAAATAACACAATGACATAAAGCAGAGAAAAGCATCACATCCTCCCATTAGAGACGTCAAAAAGAGCCAATATTTCCCTTCTTTTCCTTGACAAATGACAATTAATCAATTATCAATATAGCTGGATATTCCTTTTGAGTCTATTAATCATTTCAGTGTAAATTACCTGTTTAATGACGATATCCCAAAATGTTAAAAAAAAAAGATGTATCTTCGTCTATACAGATCACATGTTGTATATTTAAAAAAATGTATATAATATCCTGCAATAATTGTATCTACCTGTCGAACATCTCGGAGTCCACAGCAGCCCTGAGCACCCATCCGAGGAGCGGGACCCCGGCTAACATTTTGATGTTTTTTAGGGGGATCCCTTTGCTTCCTCCTCTCGCCAGAACCAAGGCAGCTACGTGTCGCTTCCCGTCCGCTCTCAGGTGCTTGCGTTCGGGTTGCGATCCGTCCTTCTCGCCATTTTCACCCGCTGGGCATCTTTTCCTGGAAGCCATAACGACTCAATTTCGCTAAAAAAAATAAATAAATAAAAATGTCCGTGGAGCGCCACTCATAGACGGTAGGAGGCTACCTGAGCTGACACGGTGAGCCCGCGGGACAGTAGATGGAATAGAACGTTATGTAAACCAGGCAAACCGGAAGAAGCCCGCGGTGTTTCGCTACATCAAGCGTCTCTTGCAGAGAACGCATAGCTGTCCTCGTGAATGCCCAACTGCTTTTTTTTTTTTTAATTTCTATGTCAAAACAATTTATTTTGATGTATTTATATGTACTTATATGTAAAATAAAATAAAACATATGACACAAACTCGTATAATTTTGGTAAGAAAAATAAGAAGGCAACATTGTTTCTATTTTAAAAATGGCTGATAGTTCGCAAACGTTCTCTAAAAACCTAAAAAGGCCGATGAAGAAACTTTATTAGAAATAAACTTTTTGCTCTGAATGTAACCTTAAAACAAGCCTCCGTAGAATAATTTGATATGTTTTACCCTTGCAATAAAAAAAACTAAACAATTAGGCGTTCACGAGGACAGCTACGCGTTCTTTTCATAATGTTCAACAGCTACGACAACTACAGACGCATTGGGCTGAAAGTCTGGACTTCTTCTGCTCTTTAATTGTGGTTGCTACTTAGGAGCTCACTACCGCCACCTATTTCTCCGGAGAGAAGCCATTGTAATTTTATTATTATTTTATTCATAATACATTTTTTTTTTTTACTAATACTCACTGTTTATTCTACGAACAGTTAGTATTATTGTAGAACATTTACATTTTATTTTTTTACTTTAATTTCCAACACAATGAATATAAATATAATTCAATAAAGTCGTTTATTGTGCTTCATATTAATTGCATTATTACTCAACTATTAGCTAACTAATAGTCTCCTGTATGCTTCAGTTATGTTATTGTCCTATATCAATAATATCACAAGTATTATTAGTTGTGGTAGTATTGCTGTTGTTAATAATACATTAATGGAAATAATAATAATACTAATAATAACAACAAGAATAACAATACTACTACTATTACTACTACTACTACTTCAGATTTTAATTGGATGTGGATTGATTAACTAATTGATTATTGCAGACTGGTCACAGAAAATAGTATCCTCCACTTATTGTGACACTTCCTACACCTATTTTTAATGATGTGTTTTATTTTGAACACATTATGATAGTTATGAATAAATAAATATATGTATATACTGTATGTACTCTGTGCAGTGACAATAAAGTTGAATCCAATCTAATGAGGTGACAGGGCACCAAAATATGCATTGTCACCTGAAGTTAACACGTATTTTTGTTCCTTTTTCCTTTTTTAAGACATTTTAAAGCCCAAACTGTTTATTGATTCATCAAATAATAAGCAGATCATGACAAACAATTGCAAACCCAGTTAAAGTAATAGTCACATTTTCCTGGAGTATTCAACCCGTTGGTTTGTACAGAAGCAGAAGTTGCCCAATGAGATTTTACAGATACAAAATTAATAATATGGATAGATAGATAATTATCTCATATTCAGGGATTACTTTAGTGACTTTGTACAAGCCCTGTAAAGAAAACTGTTCTTTTAATTTAAAGGTACAATCTGTGAAACGTTTGGATAACTTCATTTTCGTAAAACGTCTAAAGAGCATGCATAATAATCTCACTTTTTGAAGCCAAGAAGAGAGCAAAACTTGATGTGGAAACAGGATTAATTATTTCACTTCTAACTCTAAAAGCAGAGCTGAAATGTTTTTATGTGCATGTTTGATTCGTTATATGTGCCTGAACTATACCCTGAAGCCTTTTCTATTGATTCACATTCAGAATTAAAAGTTTTTGCGGTCGATGCGCTGCTGCTCCATCTGCGACTTTGCTTTTTCTTTTTGCAGGAGAATGTGCTCCGCAAACTCCCTCATGGCCCCCATTCCCCCGGCACTGTGGCAGGTGTACTTTGCAGCATTGATGACGACCACCGGAGCGTCTCCAGGCACTGCACTTAAACCGGCCAGGTTCAGACAGCTGATATCCTGTGTGTCGCTACCTGAGAGGAGGCAAGACGGAGAAATAAACATCACATGTGAATATAAAGACCGATTATGAATTAAGGCTTGTTGCATGAGGATCAAAATAAATCCACACCACGAGGTGGCACTGGTTTATGTTTGCAATCCAAGAAATTAAAGTTTCTGCTGAAATATTTTTGGATTATTAAACCATTTTTAGCTACGGCGATGTATTAGAGCCACTGTAGGTTAAAAATAGTGATTACAGAGCCGGGGGTTAGGGGCAATATTCAGAGCACTTAACTAGTAAAGATATGAAAATAAACTTGGATATTATCTGAGATTAACGTGGTAAATGTACACGAAAGAACATGCTAATTTGGAAGATTATAAAGTCACAAATTTACTGTAAAACTTGACAATTTGTGAGATTATAAAGTTACAAATATACAACAGTATGAAGTCATAAATTTACAAACTTTTTTATCAGATATTCTTTCAGATTAAAGTGGCAAATTTACGAGAAAACAAAAACAAAATTTGAGTAACTCCAGACGTCTGCATTTCGTTGCTCCAAAAATAGTGTCATTATAGTATGGATGACCTCTGAGCGAGAGGAAGTTTTTTTTCTCAGAATATTACCCCGCTTCCCCGGCCCCGTAATTATTTTAGTTTTACCTTCAATGGCCCTGTCGTTTTTAGCAGACTTGCAGAAGATAAAAAATTAAACATATCTTGTGTAAGAGCTTTTCTGACTTTGGTTTGTGTGCGGATTAAATGAACAATATACGACAATAATCTAAATGGTTGGGAGTGAGTTTTCTGTTGATGAACCGTTTAATCTCGACATGGTTTGTCATGGATAGAGCGCAACACTACATTCTTAAAAATACTTAAAAAGGCTTTACCCATGTACGCCACATCCTTCCAACCCAGCTTCCTCTGCTCCACCATCGGCCTCAGATCATTCAGGGGCTCCTCTCCCACCGAGATGACCTTGCAGCCCGTCCTCTCGGCTAGTTTGTCAGCCAAAGACTGGGTCACGGAGTCCAGCTTGGACGTCAACAGCACAACCTGGTGGTGCAAAGACAGAAGGTAGTGTGTGGCCACATGACATAAGCCAACTCACTGGTGCTTTTTAGAGTTTAGACTAGTTCCAACCTCCATTGCTTCTTTCTGCAGCATGCGGATGCCCGTGGTGTCTCTGGTATTAATAGACACCATCTCCTCTCCGGACTTGTACAATAAGATCCTTCCTTCCGTTAAACATCCGGAAACCTTGCAGAACATCAGACGAACCACCTCTGGCGTGGCCCGACCGAAGTAGCCATACCTGAAGAAAGAAGCACCGATTGGATAAAGAGTGGGAAGAGAAATGATCGACTCAGGTCTGACTTTTCGCTGAAAGACGACATAGCAAGTATACCTTGTAAAATCTATGCAAGACTGTATGAAGATAACTGGGGTGAAATTACAATATCCGTCCCCTTTTTCTGATCCTCCCTCCACCACTAATCCTTTTCTGTACAGTAAAGATGCTGTGTGCAATGTTTATTTTGATAGTTTCTATTTGTGAATTGCACTTAAGAGGATAGTTATTTAGCGAGTTGAATTCTCAAAGAGGCAGACCATTAAATTAGCAAAAGACAAAAATCACTCAAAAAAAAAAAACCCAAACATTGATGGCCGATCGTCCGATCTCCCAACCCTAAAGTGCGTCTCACCGGAGAACCCTCTGTTCCGCCACAGGCCAGTCGATGTCCACATCGATGTCCACGCTGAACTCTGGCAGCATCTCGTAGTACGCTACCTTACCGCCCTGGAGAGACCGAAACAGAAAAATATAACATAAACCCGTTGAAGCAAGTCATCGTCGGGAAATAGCTTAGACTTGTATTACTGGTATTAAATCCTAGTCAACATCGGTCACGTCAGTTACCTGCAGAAGTCCCTCATTCACTAAGGAGTCTTTAACGGTGAAGTAAAACGAGCCGTTCTCACACAGCTCTCCATCCCAGTCCTGACGGCGTGGACGGTGGGCCGGGTCCAGATTGAACGCCTTGGTAACCTCCCCAGCTAGAAGGGAGGCAGGGTAAGGGTTAAAAAAAAAGGTCTGTTCGACAAAACATGGGGATGTTAATAAGTTGCAAAAATGCAAGAGCGATGTGAGAACTCGTAGAATAGTTCTCTATAAAAATGATCCCAAATGTGTAGATTTATATTTACATCAATACAATGACAGCAGTTAAACAAAAAGGCAAAGAGAAAAGAGAAACACTCAAAACAAAGCCGCCGCAGTTAAATACAGGAACTGTTTCTCCATCACACAGAAGCCCGATTCGTCCAGCCGCAGTTTTGGTCTGTTAACTGATAGTTATAGTTCCCAACCTTTCTCGCGGTGACTGATCTAACCACAACACTATTACAGCAGCATGGAACTCTGAAGTCCGTAAACATACACAATAACACGACACAGTACAGTAACTTAGAACAAAACAAAACAAGGTGACAAACACACTATGACCTATCTCTGCCCAGACACAAGCCTCTTACTCCGAGATGGCTTTGTAGCAGTCGATGTGTTACTGCGAATGGATTTTTTCTTCCTGACGACCTGTTAAAGTCGACATTTCCCTCTGAAGAATGGGCTTCTTCCTTCTGCAGGTTAAAGTTGTCCGCTTCTCTTTCGGGGTCCAAAACAGTCTGTTGTTCGTCCAGCGAATGGAGAACTATTCCTAGGTTTTCTTAACAGCAACAACGTTGTGCGCGTCCCCTTTCATGCGAATCGAATCGCGTGGGATGGCACAGGGCCGGAGGTAACGCAGATTTTTATAGTCTCAGTGATGCCACAGGGGTGCTGTGGCCCTCGTCCAATGGGACTTCAGTGTTGAGTTTGGACCAAAAATCACACGTAGGTGAGATTTAACGTCTGGTGGTGGTGTGATTTTAACCCAAATTGGGCTGTTGAACCATATAGGCCCAACTCCCTTTGTTCCAACCACATGGTGAAGTCCCAACAATGGGTTTTACTAGTTAGGAGTTACCTTTTTATGTGTGTATTCAACTCAAGCTGACTATATTGTATTTGAAGCTCTTTTTTTTAACTGTTTACTTATTTATTATGCCTTTACCGTTTGATTATTTATTGTACTTTGTTTTCTACTGATGTCTCTTGGTGCACCGCTCACTTTGCTGCTGTGATCCAGCAAATGTCCCCGCTGTGGAACAAATGAAGGATTATCTTATCTTATCTTGTAGACAGGCCTGGTGTCTACAATTTTCTTTTAGACGTATCATGACGGTGAATCCAACAAGCAAAACTTGAACAACAAGTTGGAGACATGCCACATATGAGTGACATGGCCGGGGTCAACGGGTTACTCCGTGACATAAAACTCCCTTCCACCACAATGACAAGAATGTCTGTGGAGGTGCTGCTTCCAAAACACTGTCACTGTGAATAAAGAAAGAAATAAACTTTGACTCCGAAAGGTTGGTTTGTGGACTGCGAGTTCTGCGTTTTGGCCGTCGCCATCTTGGCTTTTTTGCAACCAATGAACGGAAGTGACCATATTTGGACGGCAGAGGAGTGACGTAGAGATACGGCTCTGGTAGCGATACGTCTCTGGTAGAGACCTGTCAATCACTGTGTAACCCCGTCCTAAAGCATCCCCTGCTTTATGGTCTGTGCGACTCTAAATGGACCATAATGTACTAAATGAACATCATGCTGTATTGAAGAAGACTTGAAACTAGAGATTGAGACCATAAACTCATGTTTACAATGTTTACTGAGGTAATAAATCAAGAGAGAAGTAGAGTCATTTTCTCATAGACTTCTATACAACCAGAGGAGTCGCCCCCTGGTGGACACTAGAGAGAATGCACGTTTAAGACACTTCCGCATTGGCTTCACTCTTTAAAGCCGGAGGTTGCCGCCTGTTTTAATCCCATTCTAGGAACCAGGTATAGCCTGTGTTATGTTTGTACACTCTTTTTGGTCCCTTACGCCTTTCTACGCCGTTGTAAAACTCTTTGGGATGTTTTGGATGCGTGGTATCCACCACAAGTATTTCTTTGTTCTTCCTGAAAATAAAAATACAAAACGCAGCCACTCGATCTGTGAATCTTTGACGGACAGCGCATCGGCAGGTTAGACACCTATACCCGTCCAGAGTGAGTACGTGGGTAATTTTTCACCCAAACCGCTACAATTAACTACTGTTTTTAGCCAAACTCAATATGTTTATTCGCGATGGACATCAGAAAAATTGATATCCTTACGATCACACAGTATCTTTGCCTCTATTGCAGACCGTACCCTTCCCAATGGTCAAAATGCCGTCCACAACGATCAGTTAAATTACAGAATAACCAGAGACGAAATTGCTTTTTACTGCTGTAAAACTAAATAATCTGTATGTGATCTAATCTATATCATCTAGCACTGCAAAAACAAATAAAAAAAAAAAGAGATAAAGTGAGTTTGCAGATGAAGTGTTGTGCTGTTGAAGAAATGTGGATCTTGTTGTTGGCTTACATCCTTTCTTGACCTCCTGCCAGCGGAACTGGTGTCTCCTGACCACGGAGAAGACGGAATCAAAGCCCTGCTGCGTGATCATGTTCAGGGCCTCCGTCAAATGGAACGGGTGGAGACACGGGGAGGTAGCCTGGATGTTGCACATCACATCTATCTCTGTGAAAAACAAATTCACGTGCGCTATAATCACACAGCTGCTTTGTGTCCGCTCTGAGGGACCTTGTCACTGATCAAACACGTCGTGGCGGTATTACTACGCCGCCCGGCCCTGATGTGACACAACAGGTTGCACATCCCGGTGTTGGGGTTACCTGGGTTGAGCCTCATAAACTCTTGAATGGTTTCCAGGGAGGAGGAAGAGTCTTTGGAGACTTCAAGGCTCCTGCGGTGCACCTGGGCGCCCCAGGATTTTGCCACCTGCTCGATCTCGTCATGGTCAGTCGAAACCCAAATACTGAGGAAATGAAAGCGTGCCGTCATTGTAATAATCTCTTCATATGTGTTTAATTCAACATGTATTTTCTGTCTAACTCATGTTTTGACGCTTTGTCTTACTTGTTTTTCCTTCTCATCTTTAATCTTTTTCTTCTACAGATTAATTT